GGTTTGCATTGTTCCACCTCTCAAGCTAGTCAAGGTCCCTTTGGATGGCATCTCTTCCCTCCAGCCTGTCGACTGCCCCACTCAGTGAACTTGCTGAAGGTGCACTCAATCCTACTGTCCATGTCACCAACAAAGATAGTCAGAAGGCACCAGCCTCTCTTTTCCCCGCTTAATTTGCACTGGAGCTGGTTTTAAATAGTCTCTCTATGAAGCTTCTTCTGGTGTTTTCTGGCTCTGCTTGGGTTCAGTCTGTTTTAAGCCTCAACCTTCCTCATACGCCCCTTGGTTTTGAGTTCAGAGCTGGATACCTGCAGTGGCATAAGGAGGAGGCTGTGAACAGAGGAGGAACGTGTTCCTGTGAACCAGGACGCTTGGCAAGCTGGTTTTGTAGGTGCGAGTGTCCTCATTGTAGGTGCAAGTGTCCTCCTTGGAAGTTCTGGGGAACATGCAAACAGCTGCTGGAAAACAGCACAGCCCAGTGAAACAGCACAGTAAATCACTCGAGCAATTTTCTTCTGCGTCTAAATTGGGAAATACAGCAGAGTGCTTTTCCAGCTTAAAACCGCTTTTCTCCAGGTTGTAATGCTGTTTGCCTTTTTTATGAAACTCTTTATAAGCTCTTTGGTGTTGTATAACAAATGGTTAAGCATGTTTTGAGCCAGGAGTGCTCTCAAGTGCAGCTGGTTCTGTACATGGTGTTTCTAGATAGGAAAGGTAATGGAAAAGAATAGCTGTTCACAAGTAGCTTGCACATGGATATGGCAGAGGCAGCACAGGAACCTGTGCCTAGTCTGCAGCCAAAGGTGATCAGAGGTCAGGTGCTGCTTGGGCAGAGGTGTGTGTCTGACTGCCCCCTCCACAGTAGGGAAGGGGACGTGCCACTGGTCCCCAGCAGTGCCCAGAACAGCCCAGGGCAAGGAACAAACACTTGGCACAGGCTGGTGATGCATAAACCTGGGCACTCCACATGGGAGTTATTTGGAACATGGTGGGGGCTGTCAGTTTGTCGCATTTGCACCTGTATAGCATTGGTGTCGTTTCCTCGTGGTGGTGAGAACCACGTGGTTCAAGTGTCGCTTTGCCCTTGGCTCTATGGGATCCTTGTCAGACATGTCTGCCCACCCTCTGTAACTGATTCTGCTTCTTGTCTCTTCTCTCTGTTGTGAATAGATGAAATCCTCCGACATCGACCAGGAATTGTTCACTGAAAGTTACTGCAAGGTGTGCAGTGCTCAGCTGATCTCCGAGTCCCAGCGTGTGGCCCATTATGAGGTAGGATGTTCTTGGTTTGTGGCTCCACTGTTTCAGTTCCTCTCTGAAAACTCAGGATTCGAAGAACTGTTTTTACTGGTGGCATCTTACTCTGTCGATGATGTCACTGCAGCCGTGTCTGCTGCGTGTCTGGCTTTTCCTTCTGTCTGAATTTGCCAAGTCAGGCTGCGATTCCAACAGAACTGAAGGAAACACAGTTAGCAAAGAGAGCAATTAAGAGTGCAGCAAAACGAGCTCAGGTTGTTGTATTAAATTTGCTGTACTGTGCTTTGCTGAGTAGAAATCACTGATTGTGCAGAGAATAGATTAGTATTTCTGAATGTATTTAAGCACTTAAGAGGTGCAAGCAGTGAACAATTAGGAAGGATGGATTATTAGAGACACGTTAGAACGGCAATTAACAGCACTGCGTATCTTCAAAACAAACTTAAATACACTCCTGTTACACGAGGAGGAAATTACTGAGGGGTATGCTGCTGCAAAGTCCTTCAGGAAAGAAAACCCACTGCCCATCCATGTGTTGGAACCCGCTCCCTGCACGGTGGGGAACGTGCTCTGAGCAGGTCTGCAGCAGCCTGGTGTAGATCCTGCCGCAGTGAGTGGTTCACGGTGTTCGCTCCCTGGGAGAACAGAGATTTTCAGGTTCAGATGTGCAGGAGGTGCAGGGTCAGTGTGTGGTGGCTGTGCATGAGGAATCAGAGTGCAGTCTGGCACCCTTTGCACGGTGTGAACTGCGCAGGGACTGTCCTTCCCTAGGGACATCAGGCTGTGCGGGCAGTGCTGGGCCTGGGAGGGACGTGTGAGATGGTCCAGCCATGGTGTGTCTGCATCATCTATATTACATTGTGCATATACAGAATGAACTATGTTAACTCTATATTTTTGTCACATATTATGTGAAGATAATATAGATATGACAATATAGGTAATATAGATATGATAATACAGAATAGGATAATATAGAATGATTCAGTTAGATTTGATGATCTTGGAGATCTTCTCCAACCTGAACAATGCTGTGATTTTCTGTGAAGAGCCAGAGGATCAGGGACCTCTGCACTCAGGGGAGCTGTGTTTTGGCCCTGCTTTTGGGTGCACAGAGACTATATAGTGTCTGCAGCATTCCAACAGACAGTTTGTGCACAGGGACCTGGAAGACGAAGTTTCCCCAAACGCTTGCTCTGATTTGAGTGTTTTGCAGTGGATATGCCGGGGAGGGCATTTGTGTGGCCAGTGGAGACATACAAGAAGCTTAATGTACGAGATCCGAGGATGCTGTGCTGCATTAATTAACAATGGGAACAAAAATGCACGTTCGCTTGTAAGGCACTTTACATGTCTCTTTTGGTGAATTTCTTAAGAGCTGTCCTGTAACTGCTCCTCTGGCTGTCCTCAGTGTGCAGCAGAGATCCCTGGCAGCCACTGGGAAGTCGAAGGCTGCAGTTTTAGGGACACCTTCCAGATCTTGATTCTGGGCACTGTGGATGCCAGACATTGTCTACAGGAGGCAGGAGCACTGCTGGAGAAACGGGAGCAGTGCCTGGTGAGCCACAGGGTGCTCAGCCAATCTCATCTCCTCTGCGCCTGTCACTGTAGGTATGAGCTGAATCATTAATTCATAGCAGATGTTTTTGAAATGTGGAAAACAACACGGTTTTCTGTTGTATATTTTAGTGTGAGGTGTTGTGCTCGTTTGTCATCCCCTGTGAAATCCCAGCAGACGCTGTAGATGTTTGGCACAATAATGTCACTCCCGAGCCTTGCCTGTGGGTTGCATAATGCAGAGCAGAGGGATTGAGGGAGTGAGCCAGGGAGACGGCTCAGGGTCCCCTCCGGGTGCCCAGAGGCTGCAGATGGCCCTGCCCTGTGACTGTGCTGCGCTTTGCCGTGGTCTCACAGCAGCCACTGCTCTTGACAGGGAAGATTGTCCCTTTGGGACTGTTCTAGTCAGCACTCCAGAGTGTGACACTTGTCCTCCTGGCACCCTGGTGCCAGGAACCCACAGGCACTGTGAGAGCTGACAACCTGCCCCAAGGTTTTCCAGGGAGGTGGAGTGGGTGCTCCATCCTGCCCAAGGCTGTCAGCTCTTGCTGTGGGTGCTTAGTCAATGGCAGGAATGTAACATTCACTGTTTCTTCCTAATTAGCAAAGTAACTGGTCACACTTTTCACAACTTTTGGATTTTTTGCCTCCTTTTAAAAAGTGCTCTGCAGTTAAAACTGATTCTGTTCATAGGGGAAGTATCAATTTCAGAAGGCTGAATTTTCTGCAGATCCATTCCCAGGAGCCCTGGGATGGCCACCCAGGCTGCCTGTGGGCACAGGGGTCCTCTGTGTTGGTGCAGCTGGGGGTGCTGGGCTCTGTCTGAGTTTGTTTTGGTCAGCAGCACCCTTACCCTGCCCGAGCCAGAGCCTGGAAAGAAATGGGATTGATCTGCTGCCTCGCTAGTGCAGCCGAATAAGCTCTGCAGCCCTTGTGCCAGGGACTGGAATCTTGGCTCTCTGTGCATGCAGAATAAGACATTTCTCTGTAAGAAAATAGAGGGAAACAGCCTATGAAAGGGGGATTTTTTTATCTTGCCAAACAGGAATAGTCAGTTCCAATTGCTGTCTCGTCTCCTCCAAATCACCAACCAATAACTTCTTTTCTTCTGCGCCACTTTGCCAGGAATAAAAAAATAATTTTATGTCAGTCATGCAGTATTAAGCGATATTATTTCCAAGGGCAAGTGTAGTGGAAAAATGACAAAAGAATCAGAGTGTTTGCAGTGTATTTTTGCTTCCAACTTGACATACAGCAAATACTGCCCTTATTTCATGTACTTTGTGTAACTGCTTTTCTGGCTTTGTCTGACGCGTCTGCTGTGCCCTGGCTGTCCTCCCTATGTCAGTGAAACCACCAGGTCCTGCCCTCCTCTCCAGGGTTCACCCCAGGACGGAGCTGAGCCCAGTAGCTGCCTTGGGGTATTGACTTGTACTGACATTCCCAGATGAGGAAATGCCTTTCACGAGCTCAGTGCAGACTGTGGTGCTGAGTGTCTTGGGGGGTGGGGTGGGAGTGATGCAGCTTCCACACAGCTGTAGGAGATGTGGTGGATCTTGGTGGTTGGTGTCGATGTGTGTGTTTCAATATTTGAATTCCTAAAGCAAATTAATATCTCAGTTTTCCCCTGGAGTACCAGCAAACTCCCCACTTCTGCTCCTGGAATAAAGCACCCAAGTATGGATGCCTGAGACAGCCCCTGCTGCGTGGCACTTGCTGTTCTGCCCTGACATGCCAAATGTCCTTCACATGCCCTGGCTCTCCTTTCCTCCTCGGGAGGAACAAAAGGGAACAGGGTGAGTGACTGGGTAAAGAACCACAGAAAAGGACAGGGTGATGCCATACACTCCAGGAGATGTCTGGTGGTGCCAGGCACGGGGCGATGGCTGGTGTAGGGAGGGTATTTCACACCTCCTCGTGTCCCACAGTTGGGTGCAGGGTGTGTGTGTGTGTGAGACAGTGTGCTGTGCTTACTGCAATGCCGTTGGAAGTCCGTGCCCCAGAGATGAGTTTTTTCTTTTCTGTATCTCTGCATCTCGCCTCCCTCTGGAGCTGGAAGCTTCTTTGCTGTTGGATTCTCTCTGGATCACTCGTAATTTAATGCTTCCTTCCAGTGCTGTCTATGAGAGAGATTGTATCAATCACTTTGGTGAGCTGCTCTGTAAATTAAAAAGCTAAAAACAAAAAGAGCTAAGGCTTGTTAGCTTCAAGTCCTCATCCCCGTGTAGAAGTGTTCACAGTCATTAGGAAGATGTTACCATTTGTTTTCATGTTTCCCCTTGAAAATCCTGCAGGAAAATTACTTCATATGCAAAGTTGCTCTCAGATTCCACCCTGAGCTGCACATTCATCAGCACATTTCCTCCTCGAGCTGCTATAATGCTTTTCTCCATTGTAATCTTTATTGCTTCAGGTGTTCAGATGGTACTTTGCTTTTCCATTTAAAATGAGGGAAGATGCTGGGCCTGGAGAAAGAGCAGCCCAGAAAGGTGTTGTGCAAGTGTCAGCTCACCTTGTGAGGTGTGGGAATGATGCTTGAACACTTGCGGTGGAGCGGCAGGGGAGGGCCGAGGCAAAGTGTATTAAAATTCAAATGCAGAGGAAACTGGGGAGAACAAATAAAGTGTCATGCCCTTTGGCTCCTCTCCAGAGCTGAGTGCTCCCTGGAATTTCTCACTTTGTCTCTGGAGCGAAGCAGGCAAGCGATATCGACAGCCTCATCAATACTCCTTGTCTGCAGAGGGTGGAGCAGTGCTGGGGTTAATCTGCTTCCAGTTGGGCTGTCCTTGGCTGGAAACGGCATGAAGCGATGGCTTGTCTGCAGGAATAATAAGCATTGTTTACTATTGGCACATTAGTGCCTTAAGGATCAAGATGTGTGTGCTCAGAAAGGCAATCCTGTGTCTGAAATATTAATGTGCTGCAAGAGCACATACTCTATTTAACAAAATAAATGCTGTGCTAGGAAGCAAGGAGCTGGAATGTTTTGTTTCTGCTGCTAGCTCCCTGCATGAGATGCTACTGGCATTTCCAGGATGGAGAGGAGTGGAAAGGATGTGCTTCAGCTGGAAATAAAGGCTGCACAAGGCTGTCGTGTGTTGGGCTCTGCTGATGTTAGTGATCATGGAAGGGAAGGTGGCATTTGCTGGCCACGATTGCTCTTGTCTGATCTGCAACTTCTGCTGCTCCCCTGCCACATTGTGTCTTGCTTTGGTGGCAGTAACGTGTAAATCCTTCAGAGGATGAAGGAGGAGGGGACATCCTACCTGTTGGTCCCGTGTCCTTCCTCACCACTGCTGGAACCTGCTCTGCTGTGGTGTTCATGGTTTTTAGTGGCTGCTCAGGCACTGCTGTTATCCTGCAGACCATGCTGGTGTTTGGTAGAAGAACCTTGGCTTGAAGAGAAAAAGCTAAAGAAAGCATGTTTGTATTGCAGAGTTGGTGAAGGTGCTGCTCTG